TCAACATGTCTATATAATAATTTGTAATAGCTAATTGTATTTTCAATCTCTGTTAATCATACAGTGTCTTAATGTAAATTCTCCCCAAGGTCTTTCTTCCCTGGCATTCAATTTTTCCTGATACAGGTTTTAAAATTAAATTGCATGAACATAAGTCCCTTTATAAACATGGCAACTCATTACATGCAGCTTCTCTAAAATAAGTGGTATGTTTTTTCCCCAAATGTGGTTTTTTTTCCTTTGAACTTTGATCATGGAAAGATGAATACTAGGAGAATTTGTCTGATGCTAGAATTTATACTACTGTGAAACCTAGCGGCACCCAAATTTACTCTCAGTAAAATCCATGGATACGTTTAAATCCCTAGTCATATCTGTGAAATTCAGAAAGCAAACCTCCATGCCACTATATTATTTTAAATGCTTTGATTGTTCTTTGCCAATGTAACAGAAAGTATCAATAATAGATTTCATTTTATTCTACATTTTCATAATTTTTTTTTTTTTGTATCTCTGCATCCTAGAACTTTTGAAATTTCAGTAAAAGGCAAGAAGCCTTCTGTGGTCTGAGTTAGACACTGCTAGGGTGATCACCACTGCGACATTTTCATGGTGCTGCCATTCTGCTTTGCAGTAGGAACAGTGGTACATGGAAACAGGCTAAATATACATTTGCATGCAAAAGTAATATGCACATCTCTCTTGGTGACATTGTGCCCAGGTGCATGCAGACCAACAAAGACAGGCTGACCAGGTGACAGCAACTATGGTCATTCCTACCTGAATCTCCTGCATTTTAATGGCAGCATAGCTACTAATGAAACTTCTACTGTACAAGGTGTATTGTTATGGCCACAGGATAAAATTAGAGACATGGAAAGTGTGTGTTCTTAGAGGTTATAAAATTCTACCTATTCCTTCAGATTGCAATCATTGCAATGTCAAATCAATAGAGAAGCTGGCTAAATACTTTATTAGCAAAGGTGAGAATAGGTCATGAAAAATGGCCTGGGAACAAACATTGAAGGAATCATAAAGGAGAAGCTGCTGTATGGTGGGACATTTCACCTTGGCTATTTCAGAGAAACGAAGGCAGATTGGTTGTTGCAGCACTGCAATTAGGCTGTCACAGAGAAAGGATGCCAAGTAGTTACTGATAAAATACCTATTGCCTAAAATTTAATTCTGAATTAAAGTCTTCAATTGGCATGTATCACAGAGGTATGGTTGACATACTGGGGAGGGGGGAGAAATATTAATTTATCTGTCATCTTATTTTGATAAGACTAGAATTGGAGAGCAGGTAGATGGCTATTACAACAATCTGTCAGTTTTCAATGTACGCTGTTGGTGACAGGGACAGGGTAGAGATGCTGTGGACTATCCCTTCTGCTGCCTATATCTTCCTGAGAAATTAGATTTCCCTAGATTCCTTGTCCTAGGGCAGGTGTTCCCAACCTGGGGGTACGAGACGATATTCCAAGACGTGCGAAAACATGGGTTTAGAAGTTTCAACATTATAGTGTATATGCATAACCAGGTATTACTTTTGTAAGGGGTGCAAGAATATATCAGAAACATTCTAGGGGTGCGGGGTATAGAAAAGGTTGGGAACCACTGTCCTAGGGGATTTCAATTTCAATTTCAATTGGGAATAGCTCAACATTTCATGTCTTGTATGACAAACATGGACTAGCTTCAATTGATACCTGATCCCAATATGTAGCGGAGCACCACTGGATTTAGTTTTCTCCTCAGAGCTGTTGATTTAAAGATTAGTTTGCCCCATGTGACTCCATTGTGATAGTCACTCCAACCTCAGTTTTGTGCTGATGTGAATCCCTGCAAAGTTAGTTAAAATGGTCTAATCCAGGTCCCCTTGATGAATGTAAATGGTTTCCTGAGTGAATTTGGGGAACTTTCTACATTTTTTGCGATATTGTCAGCAAGATATTGGACATGAGAGATAGTGTCCTCTTCCTTTCCATGGAGTCAAATTGGCTAAGGATAGGGAAGAGGATGAAACTTCACCTGGAGTACAAGTTGGAGAAAAGGTCTCTTGGGCCTATCTCAATTTGTGAGGGTGTTTCCTTTTCTATAGCCATTGTGAAGTGTGTAACATCCCCACTAATGTGAAGGGAGAGCATGGAAACAGTTTGTGGCTTGAGGTGAGCTACTTGCCCTGGCCTTTTTCAATGAAGCTGAACTGATTGAAGAAGAAGAAGAATGTCTGCCTCCTTCTCCTCACCAGAATCCCATCCCTTGACGCCCATTGGAAAAAAAACAACTGTTGCATCTTAGAATCTTCTAAATCCACTGTACCCCTTCTTTCAATCTTTTTCACGTGCATTTGTCTAGTCAAAATACCTGAGTGATTCCTATGAATGGAATCAATCTGACTGCAAGACCCCATTCTCTCTGTCTCAGTTTTTAAAAAATCACTGCAGCAAGGAAGTCAAAAGATAGCATACCTGCAGTTTGGTAGTCAGAAGGCTTTGAAAATGGTTCAAAAAACAAAGTTACTCATTCTTGGGGCTGCAGAAGTGGGGAATAAAACTGGAACTGATCTAGGCTGTGTTTTTTGTTTATAGATCTTTGTAACTTTTCTGAGATGGAGAGTAGTTTATAAGCCCACGCACAATAAGCAGCGGCACGCTTGCCTTGACTCCTTGTGTTGTGCTAGAGTGATACTTGGACTTGAGCCGATATCTGTTGTCATCAAGGTTCCTTGAACTTGATCCCTTTGTTTGCATTGCTTATGGAATCTCAGATTCTTGGCTTCAATTATCATATCACCCTGCCTGGACAGAAAGCTGGAATTTGTTCTGCAGCTTGATAAACACGTTGCCTCTAAGATTTATGACCAGCCTGTTTATGTTGAACCGGAATTAAGTAAAGCAGTGGAAACTTGTTCCAGCCCTAAACCGAAAGTCAGGCGACACAGCTTTATAGCAGAAAAATAAACATCAATTAATTTGCACAATCAACAGCAACATTTACAGCTCTGTAGATACAATAGCTCCTCCTGCCCTCTTTTATCACTCTGGGAGTGCCCAGTCTTCCTCTGGCATTCTCCCCAAATATGAAGGTAGTGCATAGAAATGTCCTATATTCTTAGGCCAAGACATCTTGTTTTTACAGCTACAGTGGCTGCTGTATTCCATCTAAAAATCCTTGCCACCTAAAATTCTATTACTAACTGACTCAGCAGCTGTTTGGGCAATTCTTTATCTTTTAGAGCAGAGCCCATTTCTCTCATTTTTTGCAGGCTTCATAACATAAATAACAATACCTAACCAATTACAACCAGGAATGCATATTTATGTGTAGTCTGTGGTTTAGATTTTCCTGAAGCTGAATTAGACTGTGCAAAGCATGTTAGGTGGACTCAGTGTGAATCAGAAGAGCGAGTTAAATTAGTCAGAATGGAATAGGATCAAACTGATCTGGGGATTAAGATGGTATTAAACGGGTGTTAGACTTTAATCCTAATTCAGAGGGAGACTGGAAGCAGTCTGTGTTAATAACAGGTCTGCTAATTCAATTTCAGCTATGTGGGTCCAGTAGAAGAAGCTATGATGTGATTTGTTGGGTTTTGACAAAATAGGTTATCTCAACCCTGCCAATGTTGTATGTAAATGAAGGCTTATTGTGCATCCACACAGTGGGATCTAAAATATTGTAGGCCAGCTGCTACATCCCTTCCTGCTCCCAGGACCTTGCCTGACTTCACTCTTTATATTAAAGAAATATCTGATGTTTAGCAATGAAGAACTAGCATACTCTAAAAGAAAATGCAGTTTCTAGCATTATCTTGATTTCCCAGGATGTGGAACCAGGCACCCACATCCTTTCTCAGAAATAAAAATGAAGGGTGGCTGAAGATTAGTCTAGATCAGTGATGGCGAACCTATGGCATGCATGCCAGAGGCGGCACTCAGAGCCCTCTCTGTGGGCATGCCCATCGTCACTGCGCCAGCATCTCACACAGGTCCATTAGGCTGCTGTTGGCGCCCGGAGCAATAGCCCCGCCCAACAGAAAGGCGAAGCGGCTGGCTAGCAAGCTCAAATAGAGGTGGTAGAGCACTCCCTCATGCGCTCACTGGCCTCTGTGTGTGGGGGCCGATGGTGTCAGGCAGCAGCCACCCCTGCCTCGCCTTGCCCTGCAGCAATGGCACTCCCGCCCTACCCCCTGCCTCACCCTGCAGGAAAAGCCTCCTGCCCATTGCCCCACCCACCAGAAACCCCCTGGATCTCCCCCAACCCTGCCTGGCCCCCACAGCTGTCCCCACGAGCAACATCGAGGTGACCATATCCACTCTGGCCATGCCCACCCACTCTGCCGTGACCACCGCAGCCACACCCACCCAGTGGGCCATGCCCCCCCGCTGCCCCACCCGAGGTCTAATGCTGATGCAGCCCTGGCACTTGTAATAAATAAGTGGGTTTTGGGTTGCAGTCTGGGCACTCGGTCTCTAAAAGGTTCGCCATCACTGGTCTAGATGTTTGTCCAGAAAAGAAGAAATATAAGTATCGGGTATGATCCCGTAGAAGAGACAATGTCAAGGACCACTCTAGTGATCCCATCACTGGAGGTTTTTAAGAGGAGCTTGGATAATCACTTGTCTGAAATACTATGGGGGAGCAGGGGATTGGACTAGAAGATCCCCAAGGTATTGCTCTCTCCTTCAAGAATAGTTATTACACTCCAGACTGACTATTTTACACCACATGTATCTCTTAAAGATTTAAATGTTGCTCTCCCATCAGTCAGCATTAAGTTTCTCAAAATAAACAATTCTATCCATTGTAATATTTCTTTCACCTGAGTTAGTAGAAAAGTCAGAAAACTGAATAAAAGTGATCCATTGTCTTAAAGAATTCAGGAAGCCACCAACTGAAGGAAACGGTAATATTGCTTAAGGCAATAGTTTAAACAACTTCCTCAGGTGTGACCGACATCTAATAGAATTGTCTTGATGCAACTTTTAATGCTAAGTGGTGCATGGTAGTGACATTTAAGTCTGGGTCCCTTCATTTTCTGTTATTTAAGAATTGTAAATTCTATTGCCTTCCGTAGATTCTTTCTTTTTTAAAATTTCAGGGAAATAAGCACGTGAGCGGGTGGAGTAAAGGAAACACATATTTCCTGAAGTGACATGCTGTTTTTTTAGTACTGCTTTCATTCCATTTATCAAGCTTGACTGTCCTTCATCTGACTAAGTGAGAGGTTTTTTGTGCTTCAGTTTTTGGTCCCTCAAGCTGGTTGAAATGACAACTGTCCTGCTTCATATCACGACCGTCCTTCTCGTCTTCTGGGTGCCTACTAGTAAGTACTAAATATTCAAAACAACAATAACAACAACAACTGAATTTACATTTGGCGTAGCTGGTGAATTTAGAAGCTGACTAGCGAAAGAGCAAAATGGAACAAAGCACACGAAATGGAGAATCCTAATTTGTGTGAATGTTATGTATAATGAATTTCCTCCAATGAAAAGTTGCATGCAGTTAACATTAAAGGGTTGGCAATATACTAGAGTATATAGCAAAAAGGAAAAAAAAATCTTTGGTTTACCTGAGATAATGTAGCATATTTAACATTTTATAACATTTTCTATGGAAGGGGAAATTTCTGATACAGCTACAACTTACAGGAGCCTTAATTAGAATAGACAAATGTGAGAGTTGCAGCGAAGTATAGTATAATATTTGCAAAGTGTGTGCTAGGCTACACAGTGAGACTTTTTTTTTTAAAAAAAGAGTGTTCTTAGATTATAGGAAATAAGAACATTAAATTGCTAATATATGTGATTCTGATGCTATTCTCTGATGACATTTTTCATGCTCAGTCAGTAAGGATTCAGTGGGCATGCACTATGTGTGTGCATATGAAAATGAAATGGATTGAACAAAGCTTAAGGTTTCTTGGTCTATCAAAATATTTTACCTTAAGTTGCGGCTCCTCTCCTGGTTCAGCTGAAATGCCATCCATTAGTTCATCAGCCAGTAGAAAACAGTACGACATAAAATTTTTATTGTTGATCCTTGTCTTGCCATAGGAAGGATGCTATTGTATGGGGGTATTATTACATGTTGTGTGCAGGGGACATTAAAGAAAGATTTGGGTGAATTTCTTTGGCTTTCTTCTTGTCTCCTTCAATAAACATCACCACCCAGCAGGAAAATATACATCACTTTTCTGAACAACAAGGATTGTGAAATGCTTTTGGCCATAACCCCCCCCCCACACACACACACACAACTGATAGCTGTTAGCTACTGATTGCTGACCGGAACATGGGGGTGACATAGTGTAGTTCAGCCTTCCTCCTTCCATACTATATAGCTGACAGACATATGGGAGAGCTTGTGTGATGCTATATAGGATTCCTGGTACACCTTGCAACCTTCCCATGTCACCTGTGATCTCTTAAAGCAGGCTATTTTAAAACATGGGTTTAGCATACTACTGAAAGGGCCTTAAACCCATGTGAAGTAATCCAAGTCACAGTTTAGAGGATCAAGGGGATGGGTTGTGCAGTGCCGAGAAAAATCTACCTTCCAATTAATCACATAACTATCTTGTACTGCCTATCAGCGAATAAGACGTCTAGTACTACCTGGGTTCAAAATCTGACAGACAAAGGGAGAATTGCACCATGAAGCAGCAGCAAGAAAGTCCACTCTCTGGCTATAATTAGTGCATTGCTGCTGTCATCATTGGTCACCTGCTATTTAGGCCAATATATGTCTTCAAGCCAAGATTGGTTCACAAGTCTTGCAGATAAAGAGAAAGCCTGATTTGAAAGAACTAGATTCTCCTACTGCCCAAGCCAAATAACCATGGAGGACAATGCTCAAGATTACTACTAGCTGAGGGCACCTTAAGGTTGGCTCAGGTTTGGGTAGGGAATGAGTTGAAGGCAAACTCAAGAAGACACAGCAGGAAAAGGAGATCTCCAGAGCATGTTCATGGGCCATTAGGTGCAAATGGAGACTGCAAGGAAATCCAGACAGCATTATTTCTTAGTAATTTCTGAACATAAAGGTGGACTGCACCTTTATGTAAGCCTATGTAAGCCTTATTGAAAGAAAGTACAGTTCCCATTTGTTTAAAAGGGGACACAGTAATGCCAGGAAATACTGTATTTTGCTGGATTGTGTCCTGTTAGTAAAAACTCTATCACATTTCATGAAATTCAAAACCTTTCCTGTATATGTCAAGGGAGAGCAATTTGTTATGGTACCTTGCAGATGTGGTCATATATCTGCAACAGCAACCAAAAAAAGCCAATGCAATCCAAAGTTGCATTAACAGAGGGATTGAATCAAGATTGCATGAGGTACCAGTACCACTCTATAAAGGCTTAGTAAGGCCACATTTGGAATACTGCATCCAATTTTGGTCACCACACTATAAAAAGATGTTGAGATTCTGGAAAGAGGGCAGAGAAGAGCAATAAAGATGATTAGGGGACTGGAGGCTAAAACATATGAAGAACAGTTACAAGAACTGAGCATGGCTAGTCTAGCGAGGAGAAAGACCAGAGGGTGACATGATAGCAGTGTTCCAATATGTGAGGAGCTGCCACAAAAATGAGGGGGTCAACCTATTCTCCAAAGCACCTGAAGGCAAGATAATGGACAATGGACGGAAACTAATCAAGGAGAGAAGAACCTAGAATTAAGGAGAAATTTCCTAACAATGGCAACAATTAACCAGTGGAACGGCTTGCCTTAACCCAAACTGTATTCTAAGTCATTTTTTCCACTTCCTCATGACAGTTTGAAAACATCCACGATCCTTGCATTGCTGAGAATGAGGAACAAACAATTATTGTCCACTCTGTGTTGCCTAGGACTGGAGAGACATGTTGGTTCAAATCCACCCTTAGGCACAGAAGTTCATCATATAACGTTGGAACAGTCAAGCTTTCTCATCAAAGCCTACATCACAAGAAGCGAAGGGTGAATGGCAAGAGTAATTATGCCTCCACTGAAGTACAAGCTCTGCTACTTTTCCACATGTTCTCATGAGGTTGAATCTACAATATGTACAAAAGGGATGTTGCTGGCATCATGACATTGCTTTCATCATTTTGACAAAAGCACTGGATCTTTAGGATGCTTCTGTTCCCAAGGGTGTTGTTGGGGAAAAAAAAGGAAGAATAGAAGATTATGTACACCACCTTGTGCACCTGAGTTAAAGACAAGATGTGTTTTTAATAAATCTTTTTTTTCTAATTTTTTATTTACAAGGATTTATCTACTGCCTGGATTGTAAGATTCTGGACAGTTTGCAGGGCAAAAATATAATATTTGCACTTCAACACTGAGAGAATAGAATTAAAGCAGCTCAGTAGCAACAGCCAAGCAGACAATTGCAATTGGTTACCAATTTCTCCCTGCTTGGCCACATAGACTGGGCAGATGGCATCTGAGAGTAACCTGGAGTCAGTCCACAGAGGACTTTAAGTACAATTGACTAAAACAATTCAGACTTAATAAATAGTAAATCAGAAAATAATGCGTAATTCATAGATCCAAAAATCAGGATTTATTAATCCAAATCAGGAGGAAAAATATATTGAATTCACAATACCATATAAGGATATTTAGTACAAGCATTTTAAATACTCAAGAATATGGTGAAAATACAGCATCCCCTCCTGCAGTTGAAGCTCCAAATCCCTTGCATTTTCGATGCTCAAATTTCATTGGGCTGCTGCTATTTTTGAATGTTCATTGTCCAAGGTCATACCAATTAAGATTGATACTATTCTGATTGATTCCTAAAGCAAAACATTACGTTATTTGTTTATATAATTCCAAATTGGTCTTTTTGCATGTTTTGATATTTATTACTTTTTATACTTATATTTGCCATTTTTATAGTTACTGTTTTTAATCTATTGTTCTGCTCCATCCAAAGCTGCCTTCAGTGAGATGAATGGCTATGTGAATTTAATTAACAAATAAATAAATAAAACTAATTGTGGCAACCAAACTGAAGGCAGTATTCTAGGCGTTATAAAATGGTATTGACATTTCACGTGATCTCGATTCTATCCCTCTGTTAATGCAGCCTTGCACTGTGTTGGCTTTTTTGGCAGCTGCTGCACACTGCTGGCTCATATTTAAGTGATTATCCACTAGGACTCCAAGATCCCTCTCACAGTTACTACTATTGAGCTGGGTACCATCTATACTATACCTGTACATTTTGTTTTTCTTGCCTAAATGTAGAAACGTACATGTAGAAACAATCTAAACACATGCTTGCAATTTTTGTTTATTTCAAATGAGTGGTGTTGCTCCTACCACTCAGATCCATGCTGATGATACCTTTTGGAATTCTAATGGTGGTTGGTTAATCCTATTTGTCCTAAGATCATGTCTTTAGATTTTGGGTGTGGGTGGGTGTAGATTTTAGGAGTCTTTGTCTTTCTAATCCCATCAGATCCAAGCTTCCTGGCCCCAGTCTTCCTGAATGAATCACCAAATCTGCATTTCTAAAAACTGGTTTCTGCTTGGGGCAGATTGGGGGAGATGGTTTCTGTCTTTTTTCTCCATTTTATTCCTTTGGGGAAATATAATATTCTACTTTTTAATATCCCCCAAAATATTTCCTTCTCTGGGGTGTGTGTGTGCTGACTTCCTACAGTACCTTCCTCCTCCTCCTATTTTTCCCACCACAAACAATCTTGTGAATTACCAGGCACTGGTGAATAGATCTAATTTTGGTTTGTCTAGATCCCTTAGAAATCTCTGATACTATCCAGATCCATATGTCAGATTATTTATCTTTAGTGGAAGGCAGAGATGCTGAAGAATATTAAGCAGGGGTTTTTTTTTCCTTCCCCAGTATGGCTCAAATTGTTTGCTAACCCCAATTCTTCCGTTCTTTTTCAGTTGAGAGGGAGTAACAGCTCTCAAGCAAGGATGAAACCAAGTGACCTTTTTAAAAAATTCTGCTTACTTACAGTACACAAATGCCATGGCAGCACTTTTTTTTCCTACCCTAACATTATGGTGTTCCTTTCCTTTTTCACACCGTCCATGGGTGAGACCAATAAGTCATCCTTTGCTGCACCAGTTGCATTCTCCTCCTAATTCTGACACCATGTTCTGTCTTATCTATAATCTGTTAGGCTTTGTCACCCATTACTGGGTGGCTGACTATGAGTGGCAAGCGAGACAGCAGTTGTCATACTGACATAATTTCTGGTTGATTCAAGGATGGATGGAAACAGCCAACTCAGCAAATGAAATAGGCTGAGAATTTGGAAAATGCTAATCTCAATGTATCTGGAAGAGGGAGTCTGAGGAAAGATGGAACAAAATGTTTCAATATTTTGTTCTCTGTCTGCCACAGTGGAATGAAACTCCCCCTTAGTTGGATTCTCACAATGCAGGACAAGTTAATTCAGACTTCAGACTTCATTCCAGACTTCACTATTGCCCCTTACAAAATGCTAGGAGGTATCTCCTTCTCCCATCCCTCTTCTGTTACTTCTAATTTGGCACATATTCTTTGGCTTATTAATGTGTTCAATGGATCATGCTAAACAATCTCAAATGAATTCCAATGAAATTTTACTACACTATTAATTTCTTCATATCTGTGGAGATTCTCAATCATTTGGGTCATGGTTATCCCAAAGGTGCTTTTCAAAAGGCAACTGGATTTCCTTGATTTTTCTTTCCTTGAAAACATTTTGCTTCTTATCCAAGAAGGTTCTCATCCAAGAAGTCCAGCACCTTTGGGATATTAATTTATTCATTCTCTCCTGCCCCTGTCACTGTATCAATGCTGTCTAGGCAACCAAAGTGGAGATTGCTTTGGGTAATGGTGAACTTTAGGGGGTAAACATCTAGCCCGGTGTTTCTCAACCTTGGCGGTTTTTAGAGGTGTGTACCTTAACTCCCGGGATCCCCCAGAGTTGAAGTTCATGCCTTTTAAAGTTGCCAAGGTTGAGAAATACTGACCTAGCCTATAAAGTGTTAAAAACTGTCTCTGTGTGCTAACTACCCAGGTGCAGACAGATACTTACACTTGGCAAAAGACGTGGATGGCCAGCAGCACGGTGTGCTCTCAGAACAGAGTTGTACAAGGAAGCCAACTTAGCATTGATTGCCAAGAATTCCACTGCAAAATTTTTGTTTGTCTTTTTTCAGTGGGTCTGGCTCAGTACAACAATGGCAGGAAGACATTTCTATTCCAAGGGAAAGTGATGTGTGATTTTAAAGTGTGCATTATTTCTTGGCATGTTACAAAAAAGTAGAAAGCAAGAATGTGATCAATGTTACAGTAAAGGGGTTTTCATAGAGTTGACTGAACATGCTGTGAACTGATGGGAAACTATTTTTTTTTCTTGGAATCTTGCCCTTGGACCTGTTCGGGCAAGTTGTTTCCTTTTTGTCTTGGCTTATTCCACTCTGTGGAATAAATGTTGACAAGCAGATCGCTGCTCCTTTTAATGGGGCTGTAGTTCACCATAGACAAAGTGGGAAACTAACGGCTCCATATAACTGGCCAGGAAGGGAATGAAAGGCTATCACTCTGTGCTTTTCAGTCATGCACTTCTCTGCACAGAACTGTTCCAGCCTTGCCTTCCATTTGAAGGAGAGGTCACTGGTAACTCAGTGGTTACTCTCTGATTATTTATAATCACATGACATGACATACTAATGCGATTAATCAAAGTAAGGTGGTGACTTTGGCTAATGGATAAGCAAAGGTAAAGAGGTGGAGGTTGGAGCTGGGTGCTATACAGCTTGAAGGGTGCCCCTTAGCCCTCCAACAGTAGAAACTGGGGAGGAAGTGATGGCATTCTTCCCATTGCTAATCAGTTGGAGGACTGCCCTTTGGCTCTAGATCAGTGGTTCTCAACCTGTGGGTCGGGACCCCATTTGGGGTCGAACGACCATTTCACGGGGGTCGCCAAACAATTCAGTCCGCCATTTTTTCCCCCTTTTCCTTAGCTGTGCTACTCCCTTTTATTCTATTGGCTTTTGAAAGCCAATAGAATAGACTCTATTGAATAGAGTATAATTCTATTGGCTTTCAAAAGCCAATAGGAATTGTCCAGGCTGTCTCTGCCCTGCTGAGCCCACCAAAAGTCCCATTCTGCAAACGGTGCTGCACCAGTTGAGTAGTCCTCGACTTACGACTGGTTGAGTAGTCCTCGACTTATGACCGGTTGGGGGGTCGCGGCATTAAAAAGGTTGAGAACCACTGCTCTAGGTGTTATGGACAATGTTGTTTTAGTGTATATGCTGAGTTCAAGTCTCAGTCCATACAGAAAGGATGGAGAGTGCCCAATTGTCTATTCCTTCAGTAGGCATATTGGCTTGGGCAGAACTTAATATGCAGCAAAATATTTTAGACGGGTAACAAATCCTTACTAGGATGACTCTTTGCCATTAATCCAGTGGAACAGCTTGCTGTCAGAAGTTGTGACTGGAGGTTTTTAAGAAGAGACTGGACAGTCACTTGTCTGGAATGGTATAGGGTCTCCTGCTTCAGCAAGGGGTTGGACTAGAAGATCTCCAAGGTCCCTTCCAGCTCTATTCTGATTGATTGATTGATCTTTCAGCCTACAGTATTTTCCTTCCTACTGTGCTTATTCATTTGGTCTCAATATTGCAAACCCTGCCTCTGCCTGCCTTTTAAGGGAGACAAGGTAGATGGAAGAGCACCTTCTTTCCCAGTCTGTATTGGCTTCCCAATTATTCTAGGGAGAACTCAGAAGCAGAAAACCACTTTCTTGCTAATACTGTAACACACACAAACACACACACACACACACACAGCCAGGTAAACCTCTGATTAAGATTGTTGAAAATACTGTCATTTATCAGGACCAGCACAAAATGTTAGTGGAAACATAGAGAGTGGCTGGTCGGTAGGAGAGGTTATGTGGCATTCTAAGAAAGGTTACAGCTTGGGGTTCTGTAATGGCCTGTGGCAATGACTTTGGGAGACAGGAGGAAGAGCTGCAGACTAGGCAATGGTCTAGGCCAGGGGGAGGCAACCTTGGCTCTTTTATGACTCGTGGACTTCAACTCCCAAAATTCCCGAGCCAGCCATGCTGAGGAGAAATGGAGAGGTTTCCAAGCTGAGCCATGCTGTCTCAGGAATTCTGGGAGTTGAAGTCCACAAGTCATAAAAGAACCAAGGTTGCCTACCCCTGGTCTAGGCAGCTAAATTCACAGAAGGACAGGACATGGCAAATGCCTCAAAAAAACAACAACCCTCCCTAGTTTCTTGAACTGTATAGATTAGTGGGAGAGATGTACTTTCAAATCTGCAAATTTCCTGTTATTGTAACTTTACAGTAAAGTTACAGCTAGTTCTCGGGGTGCTTCTATCTGGAACACAGTACCTCACAAGGCTGATAAAAACTCATACCGAAATCCATACAAGACTTTGCAATTCTCTAAATTACAGTATATCATAAATCAAGCATTCACAAGGAGAGATTTTATACTTTATAGCAAGTTTTCTTGGGTTTGATGCTGGAAAATGCAGTACAGGTTTATCTAAACTGAATGATTTAAAACAGTGGTTCTCAACCTGTGGGTCGGGACCCCATTTGGGGTCGAACGACTATTTCATGGGGGTCGCCAAACAAGGCTGTCCGCCATTTTTTTCCCCTTTTCTTTGTCCACGCCCCTGGCACCCGGTGATGTATAAATGGTTGGGGGTCACCACAACATGGGGAACTGTATTATGGGGTCGCGGCATTAGAAAGGTTGAGAACCACTGATCTAAAATGTCCTTATAAAGTGAAAGATCAATGTCACAGCCATGTAACATCAACAATCTCTGTGGATGTAAAATAGATATTAAATGACAAAAGCAACTTTCTGCTGCTGGATTGTCACTGCAATCTCAATTAAATGACTTTCCAGGAATTATGGATCTATTTTTGTGAGTTCTCTGACAAACTGCATCAGTAATAGTCTTTGTTGCCAATGGAAGCTCCAAATTTAACCTTTGTAACATTTCGCTGTTGTCTGAATTGGTTTACAACAGGGGTAGGCAACTTTTATGACTCGTGGATTTCAACTCCCAGAATTCCTGAGCCAGCCTGGCTCAGGAATTCTTGGATTTGAAGTCCATGAGTCATAAAAGAGCCAAGGTTGCCTACCCCTGGGTTACAATACTCACATGAAAAATCTGAAATTCTTCACCACTTGACACAGTTGTTTTGAATGAAAAATAGCTACTTTGTGTTTGGATTGTGTTTTTTCAGATATCTTGGTAGTATTTTGAACCTATAACATTTCCCCTACATGCAAATTACCAAGTCAGCTGAAACAGTCTTCTCTGTACAAATGTCTCTTATCTATAGTCCTACCTAGAGCACAGGAAATGAAAAATTTTTTCCAAATTTTTTCCAGTGAAAGAAAGTTTTTTTAAAAAAGAAGCCTGATGCAGCTGCTTGGGAAATGTAAAAGAGCAGAGGAGAACAGGAAGAATAAGTATAGAGGAAGGGGAAAGTCATCTGATTCAGGGGATCCTCAACCCACAAGGAACTACTAATAAAGAATAAAATAGTTCTTCTTCTTCTTCTTCTTCTTCTTCTTCTTCTTCTTCTTCTTCTTCTTCTTCTTCTTCTTCTTCTTCTTCTTCTTCTTCTTCTTCTTCTTCTTCTTCTTCTTCTTCTTCTTCTTCTTCTTCTTCTCCTCCTCCTCCTCCTCCTCCTCCTCCTCTTCCTCCTCCTCCTCAACAAATGGTTGATAAATCAGGACTATCTGTAGGCCAGAATGCTTATTTAATTTTCATCAAAATATCTTTTTTAGAACCTGCTTCACATACTTTTAGAACTGCAGATCTTTTGGGTAACTTTTTCTTTGCATCCTGTTATTGTTTTTCTAGTGCGCTCATGTGAAGTCAGCATCCATCCCAAAGTAAATGCTGTGATGTTTGGGGCTTCTTTGAATCTGACATGCACAGTTTCATGTAGCAACTATTCTGAACTCAGATGGGAAGTGGCTCTTCCATTCGTGCTCAAGAAGGGAGATGGTTGGATTAATCTGTATATAGCCAGAGTGACTGAATGGTCACTTCCACTGTCATGCTTAGTTAACTATGGAGACTTTAATCAAACCTACACCAAGAAAGTAATTTATGTTTACGGTAAGTATTTACACTTTATGTTTACTATATATATTCCAAAGTCAGAACTAAAAGGTATCATAAGGCTTGAGTTAGATTTGGTTTTTGGAAAAAAAAATTCAGTAGAAGCACTGTGCTTATTTTTTCCCACCAACTATAAAATAGTGGCAAACTAGTGTTGCTGTGTCTTTGCATGGTGTTTAATGTTGTTGGTGGAGCTCAGAAAGGAGGTTCACGCAAGGCAATAATTGAGACTGATTTATGTTCACCTTTAGAGCCCTTTCCAGCTCTTAAAAGGATTTGATCTGGGAAGTCTGCAGGGTCTAACCTGGCTTCTGCCTTTCTGGTGATCCATGGTGATTCTGCTCTCGGTGTAAACTGACATCACAAAGGCCATGCAACAGTAGTTCCCACTGAGTGACCTTCAGATATGGTGGGATGACAAATTCCAGAATTTCTGACCATTATATTCTAAGGCATCAAGATCTCGAACCTCTTTTGGGCTGGGGGACACACTGGAATTTTTGAAAGTCTGTTGAGAACATGGAGAATGACCATTATAGGGAAGAGCTTAATCAGCCTTTAAGGTAGACAAGGTCAGGAAACAGGGGACACTAGTTTTCAAAAGTACTGTAATGCACTTAAGAAAATTCCAACAGAAACTGAAAATATACCAAAGCTTCTCTCTATTTCAACCTGTTCCTAACCCAGTCAGGGCAGAATTGTTTTGAATTTCTTGTGCTTCCTACGTCCCCAGGACTTTCCTGTAGCAAACTTCATACTCTCCAGATGTTCTCTCACATCCCTGTACCAAGTGGCTGCTAAGATGCTGTCATGAAACAAGAAAAGTCAAAAGATGAGAAAAATACATTGCAATTTGTTTATTAAATTAAGTATGCCATCCATCTCACTTTGCAAAGTGACTCTGGGCAGCTTACAATTAAAATGATAAATACTAAAATATTAAAAGGCAAGATTGATACAGTGGTGCCATCTTTTGTGTTAGGGTCCACCAGCCAGCTCCAACAAAGAGTGCCCCTATCAGGGCCCCAGGCTAACTATCAAAACTTGGTTTTAATGTCTTTCTGCTATGATTATACAGCAATTTAATCTTCTACTTGCACTGTAGTATTAAAGTAGTTTTATTGATATATATCAGTGGTGGTGAACCTATGGCACGCGTGCCAGAGGCGGCACTCAGAACCCTCTCTGTGGGCACGCACACCATGCCCCAAAGATGGCAACCATCCTTTTTCAACCAGCTGCCCTCTAACTCACTGAGGTCCCATGTGGCCAGATGCATCCCAGCATCCGATCCCTCCTGGCCTTGCATGCTCTCCTTTTCCCGGGCACAACCCACTGCATTGCCTCCTCAGCTGTTGTCCGTCCATCCAGATCAGAGAGCCCCAGAGTTCACCGGTAAAGGAGCCAGCAGGCTGTGGCTGCTGACAGACACTGTTGGCCCCCATGCGCTTGCTGGCCTCTGTGTGTGGGGGCTGATGGTGTCAGGCAGTAGCCACCCTGGCCCCTGCCTCACCTTGCCCTGTGACAATGGCACCCCTGCCCTGCCCTGCCCTGCCTCGCCTTGCCTTGCCTCACCCCGCAGGACGAGCCTCCTGACTACCGCCCCACCTGCCAGAGACCACCTGAATCTTCCACAACCCTGCCAGGCCCCCACAGGTGTCCCTCCCCATGAGCAACATCAAGATGACCACGCCCATCCTGGCCACACCCAACCAGACTGCCATGACCACCACAGCCATGCCCACCCAGTGGGCCACACCCACCTGGCACCTGGCAATAAATAAGTGGGGTTTGGGTTGTAGTTTGGGCACTCGGTCTCTAAAAGGTTCACCATCACTGGTATATATCAATAGAAATATGATTTTTCTCTATTTCCAATAGACATAAAACTAATTTTTCCTAGCTCTTTCATTTTTGTTTTTGTTTCAGCATGGTTTGTTATATAACCTGAATGTAGGATTTGTTTATCATACATACTCAGCATTTTGCTTGTTCCAGTTCAAGATAGCATTCAGTAATAATAATAACAACAACAACAACAACAACAACAACAAAGTTGGAAGGGACCTTGGAGGTCATCAAGTCCAACCCCCTGCTCAGGCAGATAACCCTATACCATTTCGGACAAATGGCTGTCCAGTTTCTTCTTAAAAATTTCCAGTGTTGGAGCATTCACCGCTTCTAGAGGCAGGTTGTTCCACTGGTTAATTGTTTTAACTGTCAGGAAGTTTCTCCTTAGTTCTAGGTTGCTTCTTTCTTTGGTTAGTTTCCATCCGTTGCTTCTTGTCCTGCCTTCAGGTGCTTTGGAAAATAGCTTGACTCCTTTGTGGCAGCCCCTGAGATATTGGAACACTGCTATCATGTCCCCCCTCGTCCTTCTCTTCATTAAAGTAAGCATTTATATATCTTGGAAATGAAACAAGAATCATTAGTTTATCTTCTTTTTAGGTTGGTTATGTAGGCTGTTCAGAAAAGATGGATTCAAACCAAGATAGTGTGAACCATATAAGTATACATTTTACCTCTCTGTGAGGTTATTTCTTATCAAAATATAATCGTAACAATGCACATGTGTATATTTGGAGTTTGAATCGTAATCTGAAATGAATTTGCTACCTTAGTTTTCTAACTCAGGCACCAGTAGAACACATTGTTCCAAAAACAGGGATATTAGATCTTAGATAATACAATTTCCCATCCATGCAATTAATATCAGGAAAAAAGGTCCCTGATGGAAATCTATTGTACCAACCTATACTTTCTTCTACATCTAACTTATATATATATATATATATCTCCAGGCATCAAGCCAAAAATTAATCAGCTATTTCAGACAAATAATCACAACCCTTCCACTTCCTCTTCCTCTTCCCATAACTGGAAATAAGCTATTAATCCTGATGGGGTCCATTATCCAGTTCATAGGATCACCACACCCATGGCAACAAACTTGTCTATACTGAATCGCCCTCCCTACTGCATAAGGAAACAGGAAACTGGAAACTCCAGAGGAAAGCAGCAGCTTCTGGCAGTGTCCTTATTTCCAAGAAGAAGCATCTATGGGCTCCACATAAGTCCTAGTGGTATTATTAGTGATTTAAAATAGAGGAAGGTTGCTCTGTGGTGCTTTATTTAGAAGGGGATCTATCTGTCTTGCCCCACAACAACAACAACAATCACCATCATCATCTGGGGTGACTAAGAGCATGCTCGTGGACCAGAACAGATATGAGGAAGCAACTTTCCACCTGACTTTTAGTAAAGAGATGGTTTTTTAGCAGGCATAAGCTGGTGCTTATTTTGTGGAGAAACAGGCCCCTCTATCAAGACAGTCATGAATTGTGAGAATGGCTAAATGTTGGTACCAAACCAACATGCCATCCTTTTGATAGCACAGTAAGGAAGGGATGCAAAAAGACATTTCAGGGATCTGGAATTTCAGGGAAAGAATATAATAATAATAATAATAATAATAATAATAATAATAATAATAATAATAATAATAATAATAATAATAATAGTAGTAGTAGTAGTAGTAGTAGTAATTGTAATAGTAGTAGTAGTAGAGTAATAACAACAATAACAACAACAACAACAATAATGTTGGAAGGGATCTTGGAGGTCATCTAGTCCAACCCCCTGGATAGGGTCCTTTGAGCAATGAGGAAGCAGTTGCCAACCGCAAGGAGAAACAGACATGATCTGAGGGCATAGCCCACTGGTTATTGCAATGCATTGAAGCTGAACACTTTGATGAGATAAATCCCAGGGATTATGCTTGGTGCTAATTAAGGAGGCTGAATAAGTTTCTCCACTTTAGATTTGGATTCATCCCTCGTTCTTTCATTAGACCAGTGGTTCTCAACCTCTCTAATGCCACGACCCTTTAATACAGTTCCTCATGTTGTGATGACCCCCAACCATAAAATTATTTTCGTTGCTACATCATAACTGTAATTTTGCTACTGTTATGAATCGCAATGTAGATATCTGATATGCAGGATGTATTTTCATTGTTACAAATTGAAGCATTATATGTAATTATGTGTTTTCCGATGGTCTTAGGCGACCCTTGTGAAAGGGTCATTCAACCCCCAAAGGGGTCACAACCCACAGGTTGAGAACCGCTGCATTAGACCATCTAGTGAGGCTTTTATAATGTCTGGAAACAACATGTTAATAACAACAGCATATAAATTCTTGATGGAATTACCACCTCTAGGAGGCCAAGATTGCCTAGCTCTTTGAAGCGCTAACTCCGGTTTATCTTTCCAAATACTGATCAACGCTATCTTTTGTTATTCCAATCTAGAATTCTCTACTCCAGTAATATATCCAGTTTCTGAAGTTCTGAACGATCATTTGGAAAAAATCGTGTGCAACGTCTCTAGCTTGAAGGTGAGGGGCTCCATCCCATCTCACAGCAACATTTCCCTGAGCAGAGATGGCCATACCCTGAACAGTAGCCATGGAAAACCATCTGTGGAGTACAATTTTGTGCCTAATTTAGAGCAGGATGATGGGGCTGAGATCCTCTGTGAGGCCAACCTCCTGTTGGGTGCACAAGTGCTGAGAAAAAATGCAAATCAAACTTTGAAGGTTGTGGGTAAGTTGCATTTATTGCATGACAGTTTAACTTTTTTTTTTTCCTCCTTCAGACTAGGGATGGTTATTTGTTATTAGATGTCATGCTTCTCTCCTGCAATTTGTCCTAGCTTGGAAAATCTAGGACTTGTCCTTTTTTTTTTTTTTTTTTTTTTATTGAAATTTTTCAAAAGTTTTACAAATAAAAATCCACCCCCCCCTCCCCAACCACCCCACCCCCCCCCCGACTTCCCAGAACTGAATATAGGATTATTTAACAAATATTTTAAAAATAACATTTGCAATTTATAAAATAATTAATAATAATAATAAAAATCACAGTAATAATATATATAATAATAATATACATAACATAAACTTTAAAATGAATAATATATACTAAAAAAGAAAAAAAAAAATAAAAAGAGAAGAGAGAGAGAGAAAGAAGAAAGAAGAAAGTAGACGAAGAATAAAGCATATATATATATAAAAAAAAAAAAATATATGAATAATAATACGTAAAAAATGTATATATATAAAAAAGAAAAAGAAGAAAGAAAGAAAGAAAAAACAATCATTACAAATTATAAAAAGGCTAAATAATATTTTTCCATATCCAAATTATGTTGTATAAAATTTATCCATTTTTCCCATACCGCAAAAAATTTTTCTTGAGATTGCTCCTTTAAGAAAGCCGAAATCTTTGCCATTTCTGCCAAATACGAAACTTTATGAAACCATTCTTGTAAAGTAGGCAAAGATTCCTTCTTCCAATATTGTCCTATTAACAACCTAGCGGCTGTAATCAAATTTAACATCAATATAACCTCCTTAGCATCACAGTCAATAACAATACCTAGTAAAAATAATTGCGGAGTAAATTTTACCCTCCTTTTAAAAATTCTTTGAATATTCCACCATATCTTAATCCAAAAAGCTTTTATATGCTTACACGTCCACCAAATATGGTAATAGGTAGCATCCAAATATCCACATCTCCAGCATTTCGGCTGTAGATTAGGGTACATAATGGACATTTTCTTTGGGTCAAGGTGCCATCTATAAAACATCTTATAAAAATTCTCTCTTAAATTTTGCGCTTGTGTGAATTTAACATTTCTTATCCAAATAAGTTCCCAAGTATCCATTGAAATCGTTTCACCAATATTCTGTGCCCATTTAATCATACAATCTTTAACTAGTTCAAGTTCTGAATCTAATTCCACTAAAACCCCATAAACTCTCTTAATATGGGTTGGCCTTTGATCTCTTACTTGTTTTAAAAAAATTTCATCTTCTCTAAGCCAGCCCATTTTACAATCCATCTTCCATCTATCCACTATTTGTCTATATTGGAACCATGAATAAGTTAAGTTTTCATGTGTTAACTCTTCCAAAGATTTTAACTGCCAGTCTTGGCCATCCCATCTTAATAACTGTACGTAAGAGACCTTGTCCATATTTACCCCTTTCCTTATACCTTCTATGGCATGCCGAGGTATAGCCCATAATGGTATTTTGAAGTCACTTTTATAATACTTTCTCCACACTCTTAGCAAAGAGTTTCTTATAATATGAGACTTAAAAACCCAATCCACTTTTTTATTAAATATTAAATAGGCATGCCATCCAAAAAATAGGTCCCAGCCTTCCAAATGAAGTATTTCTGTATTTGTTAAATTCACCCAGTCGCTAATCAATGTCAATACTACAGCATCATAATACAATTTCATATTTGGTACCTTGAGTCCACCTCTCTCACGAAAATCTTGCATTATTTTAAGTTTCACCCTTGGTTTTTTCCCTGCCCAAACAAATTTATTAATACCTTTTTGCCATTCATCTAAATTACGTTCGTTCTTTAAGATAGGTAACATTTGAAACAAAAAAATAAACTTTGGCAGGACATTCATTTTAATAACTGCAATTCTGCCCATAAGGGATAACTGTAAATTATTCCAGTTTTTTAAATCCTTCTGTACCTCCATCCACAGCTTTTCATAATTATTTTTATACAATTTTACATTAGAAGCAGATAATGTAACCCCCAAATATTTTACCTTATCAACAATTTCAAAGTCTGTTAAGTTAACTAGAGCCTGTTTATCACCATTAGTCATGTTTTTAGCTAATATTTTGGTCTTATTATTATTAATTTTAAAGCCAGAAACACGTCCATATTGTTGAATCAATTGTAATAATTTCACCACCGAAGAAACAGGTTGAGACAAAGTAACAACCAAGTCATCTGCAAAGGCTCTTAATTTATATTCTTTTTTATTAATTTCTATTCCTTTTATTTCTTGAGACTCCCGAATTTTAATCAACAAAATTTCCAGTGTTAAAACAAACAATAACGGAGACAACGGGCATCCCTGTCTTGTTCCTTTTTCTATTACAAAAGCCTCTGACAAACCCCCATTTACAATAATTTGAGCAGTCTGTTTTTGATATATATTGGATAATACTTGTAATATATTTTGTCCAAAATTCATCTCCTTGATTAAACACAGCATAAACTGCCAATTCACTTGATCAAAGGCTTTTTCAGCATCCAAAAATATCAGGCCTGCAGAGACTTGGTTATTCTTTTCTAAATACTCTAATAAATTAATAATTTGTCTAACGTTATTCTTCATATACCTTCCAGTTATAAAACCCGATTGATCCCTATGTATAAACTGCTGCAAGATCCCCATAAGCCTGTTAGCTAAAATTTTTGCAAAAATTTTATAATCCACATTTAAAAGAGATATAGGCCTATAATTTTTAGGCAAAGTAAGATCTTGACTATCTTTTGGAATCAATGATATAAATGCATTACGCCAGGATGGAGGGATCTCTAACCCCTGTAATAAATTATTAAACAGTTCACACAACGGTTGATCATCTCTTCTACTAAAGCTTTATAATAAATAGATGTCAACCCATCCGTACCCGGCGCTTTGCCCAATTTCAATTGTTTAATAGCTGTAACAATTTCTTCCTTAGTAATTAAACCGTTAATCTTTTTTTCCTGATCTTCTGTTAATTTAGGAAAGTTAACTTTGCCTAAATAATTATTTATATCTGTAATTTGAATATTAGTACCCTTATATAATTTTTGATAGTATTCTAAAAAAGATTTCTTAATCAATTCTTTCTGATAAACCAATTTACCATTATAATTTATTTTATCTATATTCCTCTGTTTCTGTTTTTTTCTTAACTGATAAGCCAACCATCTCCCTGGTTTATTAGCATTACAAAATGTATTTTGTTTCATAAATAGCAAATTAGTTGCAGCTTGATCAGCCATCAGCATGTTAAATTGTGTTTTTAACAATTTTAAAGCTCCTTTAACCTTTTCATCTAAGGGATTTGAAATTAAAAGTTTCTCTTTTAATTTAATCTCCTCTTCCAAGTCTTTCCGTTTCTGAGTCTGTTTCTGTCTATGCAAATTATTCATTTTTATCAAAATACCACGCATAAAAGCTTTACTTGCATCCCAGACCATTGACATTGATGTTCCCTTGTTCATATTTAAAGTAAAATATTCCTTTAAACATTCCTTTAATTTATGAACATTTTTTTCTTGTTTAAATAAATTCTCATTCACCCTCCAGGATCTCCTATCTTCCTTCTCTACAAACAGTTCCATCCAAACTGGACTATGATCGGACAATGTCCTAGGAAAAATTTTTACATTCTTCACCCTGTTGTATAAATCTGTTGTGATCAAAAAGAAATCAATTCTTGAGAAAGATTGGTGTCTATCTGAGAAAAACGTAAAATCCTTTTCTTCTTGATTACGTTCACGCCAATAGTCTCTCAATTCCCAATCTTCTTTCATATCAAAAAAGGCTTTAGGTAATTTAGCCTGTTTAAAAAAGGTAGAAGAGCCTTTTTTGTCCATTTGTATATCTAAGACACCATTCCAGTCTCCCATTAAAATCACAGATCTATAGTCCAACAAAGTTATTTTCTGATGTAGTAACCTATAAAATTGCTCCTGTTGCTGGTTTGGTGCATACAACCCCACAATAAGAATTTTCTTGCCATATAAACCAAGTTCAAGCATAACATATCTTCCGTAAGGATCTGATTCTAACAAGGTAGCGGATAGATTCTGTTTAACATAGATTACCACACCCCCTTTCTTCCCAGGGGCGGGAGATACAAAATGAGATCCCAAGCGAGGATTATTTAAATATTTTTGATCTTTAGCTGTAATATGAGTTTCTTGCAAGCAAATAATATCATTGTTATGTTGTTTCAAATAGTGGTAAATTTTTTTTCTCTTTTGAGGAATGTTTAATCCATTAACATTCCAAGACAGGAGCTTTGCCATCTCCCTTGGCCTTCAGCCTGGAGAAGATCCGCTCAAATTCTGCTGCTGATGAATATGTAGCAGAGCTTTTGGGTCTTGCTCCTCCCACCGGCACTGAAGCAATTTGCTGAGTAGATTCTTCAATTTCTTTTTCTTTTTCTTTTTTCTGTTGTTCTTTTTCTTTACGTTTATGTGCTGCACGGGTCATTCTCTGTTCTTTAACCTCTGGTTGAGACATCCATACCACCTGTCCAGCAGTCATCATCCCTGTACCTTCAGATTTCTGTTCCATCTCTTTGTCACTCAAGACTTTATGCATCATGGGCAAAGGAGAGCCTGCTCCCAGGACCGTTTTATAAAATTCCTTAGCTTTAGCAACTGTATTAAGTCTATAACGTGTCCCCGCATGGCTCAAAACAATGCCCATCGGAATCTCCCATCTAAATGGCATTTGTCTTGCTTTAAGTTCATTTACTAAAAAAGCAAAATCTTTTCTGCTTCTTAAAATTTTAGGTGGAATTTCCTTTAAAATAATAATATCTTGGGCAGCAATCTGAAATCTTTTATTATAAAAAGTTTGTAGAATCTGATTTCGCAAAGACTTCTTAGCAAAATATATCACCACATCTCTAGGCAAATTCCTCTGTTTTGCAATCCAAGAATTAACTCTATAAATTCTTTCCACATCCCCACGTAACTCTTCTTTATCAATATTCAAAATAACAGCCAAGTCATTAATCACCATTTCCATCAAATCTTGAGTTTTATCTTCTTTCAGACCCCTTATTCTCAAAGCATATTCCATCTGTCTATACTGGAACATAAGAATATCATCTTGTGAAGTCTCCACTTTTTTCTCCATATCTTGAAATTTATAATCCAAAAGTTCAACTGTTTCTTCAATTTCCTCTACTCTGGAGTCCAGCTTCACAACCACTGAGGCCATTCCAGATAGAGCTAGAAGTATATCATCCCTCAAAATAGCATTATTCTGTTCTAAAAGCTCCTTCATCTCTTTCTTCATTTCCTCCTTAGTTTCAGATTTATTCTGGTCCAAAAGTTGTTTCATTTCCTCCCTAAACTGTGAGACAGCACTTACCATTATTTCTTTAATGTCTTGTGCTGATGTGCCAGATGGGGGAGGTGAAGGTGGAGTAGATTTAGGTTGCTGCACTGAGGGTATTATTTTAAGTTGTTGTTGCACAGTAGAAGTAGCAGGAGAAGAAGTTACTTTAGAAGCTGCAGTAGCTGGTTGTCGTTTTGAAGCCATTTTAATTTATCTTCCTTTCTTCTTAAAAATACCGATAAAAATAAGTAATCCAAAAAAAAAATTAAAAATAAGATAAAATAGAATAAAATAAGATCAATCTAAAAGTCCCCAAGAATAAAAAAGTAAAAAAAGTAAAAAAAAAGCAGTATTAAACAACAATTCAGCCGATCCGTCTTTTAAAGGAAAAAAAACTTTCAAAACGCCATTTTACTTTCACTCTCACTTTTCCGCCCGAAAAAAAAGAGAAAGCTCAAAAAAATAAAAAAAAATCAGCAGATACTAAATAAACTAAATAAACTAAAAAAAATAAAATAAAGCTAAACTATAAATAAAATCCTTTAAACAGTTCTGTCCGGTTTAAGATTACTCACGGTTTCTTTAAGTACGGAGATGGTAGCGGCGTCTCGCTTTGTTTCCGAAGAAACAAAGACAGCTGAGAGGCGGAGAAGGCAATGAACTCCGAGGGAACCCTCTTTCTACCCCCCTAAAATAAAAATCCAGGGAGAGTTAAGAGGTTCTACCTCTATTCATGCGATCTCTACCCCTTCCCTTCGCCCGGGAAGGGGATTGCGAGCCGCGGGCCAGCTGGTAAACGCTGTGCTCCGCGGATCTGACACCTTCTCAGGAGGACGGCTACAAAGTAGCCGCCATCTCCACCGCTTTAACCACCGGAAGTCCCAGGACTTGTCCTTGATAGTGAGAGCAGCATTTAAGCAATCCCATCAAGCATACCTTTCTTTCCCTTCTTTCTCACAAAGACTATTGGTGAAGCCTATTTCCCTCTTGTGGCAGGAAAATATTCTTTGTCACATTGCTGACCAGATAAATGAGTGTGAAGATTTCAGAAGCACCATGGGCTTCTGCAGAAACTGTTTACGTATACATGTAATGACAATGTATCCCCAGGGCAAGGATGCTCTTGCCATCTTATTTACAATGGATATTGCTTGCCATCCTTGCCATGGTTGACTTACTGAGGAGGAATAGCTATGGGAAACCACTTGGTTTCATTCCTGGTGTTCAGCACAGTTAAGTGAGAATAGGGTGTAGCAGGCTGAGATCTTCTCTTCCACTTGACTAGTATAATTTGGCACAGACAACATGAAGCTAACTTTATAGCTTGTCCATGCTTGCACTTTATGTCAAAACTAGGGGTTCTTTTGTCCCATACTCTTAGGATCACACCCAATTCTGGTACACCTCACCTTCCCTAATGACTGGGTAATAATGGTGTTATACTGCATAGATCTTCTGGCCTGTCATCCATTACTAGGTTAGTTTTTTCAGTGTAACATCTTATAATTATTTTTTATGAACTCAGAAATTTCACTATCCATAGATTCATAGCAGGAGGAACACTAGTAGCATTGAAGTCTGGCTAATGTTCATTTTCCTCTTTAAAAAATTAAGATATTTGCTTAGATTAAAGCGGTACTCAAATCTCTTACATATACTTCTTTCATTATAAAAATGCCATCTCTAGCAGCCCATGTTTCATTGTTCAGAGGCTATCTTTCCTAAAGTGCTTCATGAACTGATCATGGAACAAAGCAATTACATGGTCAGTTCATGAAATGCTGTGGGAGAAGCATACTGAGGAATTTAGTAAAGAATTTCAGCTATCCTTTACTAAAATGTCTAGTGTTCATTCCACAGATGTTTAATGACAAATCCTTATTAACAGAACAGAACACAAAATAACACAAAATACCTGATAGGAAAGTGGTGTCTGAAGAGTAGACAGAGAAATCGACCAGTCTTGGTTGTTCAAATTTCTGAGCTGTCAATCGATGCTGAACATGAAATGGCAAATAGGACTAACCTTTTTGTTTTTTTCTTGCAGCTAGCCCTTATAATGTCAGCATATCAGCTACTCATGTGACTTACAAAGTGGATTCAAAAATTGTGGTGACATGCAATGCTAAAGGAAAACCCCATCCAGAATATTCCTGGGATCTTCCCTCCAAAGTTAATGTGGAATTTTCAAATAACAATAAGATAGTAACGGTTCATTCAGCGAAGGAGTTCCATAATGGGACTTACCGTTGCCTAATACATAATGTTTATGGCAAGAATTCAGCACAGGTTGACATTGTCTTTGAAGGTAAGATGAATGTTTTTACTTTCAGATTTTCACATTTCTCCTTTTTTAAACACTTGACTTGCAAATTAATAGGTGTGTGGGGGGGTTGTGTGATAATTCTGAAGAGGAGGAGAAATATTACTACAGAGGTTGGAGATAGCAATCTCATCAGCTCTGTGGTTTCCTCAGTCAAAGAACGAAATGGGGTTTTGGTTGAATTGGTTAGAGAAATATCAGCTTAATAGCAAAGTGCAATTACACATATGCAGAAAGTTGGGAAGCTCTTCTATAACAAGGTCCAAGCCATCCCTTATGTTCTATTGCAGGGAAGTCTCGCAACTGGGTTATAGCCCCGGTGATAACAATGTTAGTATTGGGCTCAATCATCATTGGTGGTGTCTTTTACTTTTGCCGAAAACGATAACTATAAGAGTGGGCAGATTGGCATTCCTTTTGGATGAAGAGGCAGAATTTGCAGGGGATCCCTTTCCAGCTACAGCAGAAGCCAGAATGAGAAGGAATCTTTGTTTTCATTCACAAGTCTACACAGCAGCACAGGCAGAATTTGGATAATCTCCTCTACGGTGCCTGATCTACATTCAATTACTGCCGAAACCAGAAAACGTTCCTCTGAGCACCTGAGGACTTTTAGAGAAATTGAAATGTGTGCCAAGCCAAAGCAAGAAGTTGGGTAGAAGCAAAACTTGTATCAGGTATGAGATTCAGGTACCTGAGTGCTTTACAGTTGGGAATAGGAAAAAAAAATGTTTCTAGTTCTTAGAGCTAAGTATCATATATATATAATATATATAAGGATTATACCTGCTGAAATCTCAGAATGTGAAAATGGATCCCCAGTGACTTCAGGTAGGATTCTTTAGTCTTCCCCAGAGTTATCAAAATTTGAATAATGTAGGCAAATTAATACGTCACACATTTTTAACTCCGTATTGGATTTCAATTGCTATATTTAATATATTATAAACAATTGAGTTGTCTACATTTTCTAAACAGATCTATTTTATCCTTCTCCCTTTTGCTTTGCTACAGCTCATACAGGCTGCCCCGTGTCAATTAATAAGTAAAGTTTACAAAATTTCACATCTTTCATTGAAATAATTTTAGCCTTTGGTTGCAATCTTATGCAAAATACCAGAGAAGTGAAACTAGAGATTATGACTACTTATTTTTAAATTCTTGCATTTATGGATGGTTTTTTTTCTATTTTGCTTCTATCAATAAAAATATCTTGTTTAAAATGATTTTAGACTTGTGGAAGTCTGTACTTTTCTTTGTAACTGAAGGCTCTGCTTGAAAGAAAAAAAAGCGTTACTCAAATTGTAGAAATGTATCAGTGATGCAGACTTTTTTTGCGGTGGGAGGTTTGTGAGGTGTGTCTGAGTATCCCCTGGAGAAGAGGAAAGCAATTTGGTCAGGCTGTTGTTGTTAATTGCAAAGTCGTGTCCGACCCATCGCGACCCCATGGACAACGTTCCTCCAGGTCTTCCTGTCCTCTACCATCTTCTGGAGTCCATTTAAATTCACACCTACTGCTTCAGTGACTCCATCCAGCCATCTCATTCTCTGTCGTCCCCTTCTTCTATTGCTTCTCAATCTTTCCCAGCATTAGGCTCTTCTCCAGTGAATCCTTCCTTCTCATTAGGTGGCCAAAGTACTTGAGTTTCAACTTCAGGATCTGGCCTTCTAAAGAGCAGTCGGGGTTGATCTCTTCTAGGACTGACCGTTTGAACGCCTTGCAGTCCAAGGGACTCGCAGGAGTCTTCTCCAGCACCATAGTTCAAAGGCCTCAATTCTTTTGCGCTCAGCCTTTCTTATGGTCCAACTTTCACAGCCATACATTGCAACTGGAAAAACCATGGCCTGGACTATACGCACTTTTGTTGGCAGGGTGATGTCTCTGCTTTTTAGTATGCTGTCTAGATTTGCCATAGCTTTCCTCCCCAGGAGCAAGCGTCTTTTAATTTCTTGGCTGCAGTCCCCATCTGAGGTGATCTTTGAGCCCAGAAAAATAAAATCTGTCACTACCTCCATTTCTTCCCCATCTATTTGCCAGGAATTGAGAGGGCCGGATGCCATGATTTTGGTTTTCTTAATGTTGAGTTTCAAGCCAACTTTTGCACTCTCCTTCTTCACCCGCATCAAGAGGCTCTTTAGTTCCTCTTCACTTTCTGCCATTAGAGTGGTATCATCTGCATATCTTAGGTTGTTGATATTTCTCCCGGCAATTTTAATTCCAACTTTTGATTCATCTAGCCCTGCCTTTCTCATGATGTGCTCTGCATATAAGTTAAATAGGCAGGGCGACAGTATACAGCCTTGCCGGACTCCTTTTCCAATTTTGAACCAATCAGTGGTTCCGTGTTCGGTTCTCACTGTTGCTTCTTGACCCGCATATAGGTTTCTCTTGGTCAGGCTAATCTAGGACAAATCACTTATCTGGGGAGGAAGTTTCCTTGATGCTTTTAAATCACGGGTCCCCAACCTTTCTGGCTTGGCAGACAGGTGGGGGAGGGGGAGAGGGGAGAGGGGATAGTTCTGTGTGAGTGGCAGGCGTGTGTATAAGCCCACACAACTCCATTTGCACATGTGGTGGGCATGTGCATTTGCTGCTCACATAAGTGGAGATGTGTTGCATGCATGCACACCCGCCGCTTGAGCATCCCAGTTCTGAATGGGCCACAGCCCTGTAGTGCAGCGGTTCTCAACCTGTGGGTCGGGATCCCATTTGGGGTCGAACGACCATTTCACGGGGGTCGCCAAACAACGCAATCCGCCATTTTTTCCCCCTTTTCCTTAGCTGTGCTACTCCCTTTTATTCTATTGGCTTTTGAAAGCCAATAGAATAGACTCTCTTGAATAGAGTCTAATTCTATTGGCTTTCAAAAGCCAATAGGAATTGTCCAGGCTGTCTCTGCCCTGCTGAGCCCGCTAAAAGCCCCAGTCTGCAAACGGTGCTGCAAGTTGTCTGCAGCGAAGGCGAGTGTCTGGAAGCTTCCACCCCTCCCTGCTGAGCAACTACTAAAAATGTAAGTAAAAGAGGGCCAGGGGTAGGAGGTGGGAGGCCGGCGGGTGCAGGGAGGGTTGCTGGCACGCGTGAGGCCCGGCAGGTGCCTTACCTCCCTTGGGCTGGGCGAGCTGGTGGCCCAGCCGGTGGTTGCCCTGCACCGTTACTGCCTCTTGCCAGCTACGCCTCGGCCGGTGCAGAGGGCGCCACCATGCATGTGCAGCGCTCCCGGGCAGGGAAAGTCCTCAACTTACGACCGGTTGGGTAGTCCTTGACTTACAACCGGTTGGGGTCGCGGCATTAAAAAGGTTGAGAACCACTGCTGTAGTGGGTGTGGCCCAGGAGTTGGGACCCTTGTTTTAAATCATTGAAGGCCAGGGTGTCCAGCTTGGCAACCATGCTGGCTCGGGAATTCTGGGAGTTGGAGTCCACAAGTCTTAAAGTTGGACATCCCTGCTTTAAGGCAAAAGAGGAGATCAAATTCTAACAGAAGCTCAACGCCATTATAGTTTGTAACCCTGTCCCCCGAATCACTTAGGTGAGATGGGCAGTGTAGAAATTTGATAAATAGGTAAACAAACATGTTTTATAGCCTTTATTTTCAGTTCTTAAAAATTAAACATTTGTATTGCCCAATTGAGTATTCCAAAATAGGGCTGGGGCAGGTTATATATGCTTCCCCCCCATGGGTTTGCAATTCCTGATTGTCTCAGGGCACAGACAAATATTAAACAAGATGCCCAGTTAAATTGTCAAGTAAATTCCGTCAATAAAAAAGGAAGTTTGGGTTGGGAAAAAGGCAGTGACCTTCTAATACGCAAAACAACCCACCCTAGGCTCAGCATTCAGCCCTGAGGCTCCTCCTTGAGTTGCCATTGAAAGACTCTAAAAAAGAACAACTTTTTTGGTGTGTGTGTGTGTGGATGCTATCTGCCAATTATGGAGAACCATACCCTATAACCAGAACTGGCTCAGAAGTGGAGAAAGAAAGAAATGGGTCAACTGACTGGGACCTATCTCTGATAGAAAAAACATTTAAAGAAAAAAGGGGCTACTTTAATATGCAAGAGGATAATTCATATTAGTCATTTGTGGTATCAGCTCTTTCTTGGTCAAGAAACAGCCAGAGGTCACTTTTCCACATCAAGTATAGATGGAGAACATTTGCAGTTTCCATCTTCTCCAGCCTCATGTCACATCTTAAACCAAGTCAGTTTTTTTTTTCCTGGAAAAGCAAAGCTCTTTTAAGGGGCTGCCATTAGAGCCCTTTCATGCTCCAAATCAGCCTTTTGCCTTTGAACCGCCAGGGCTGCAAGGCCCTAAAGAAGAACTATGAACAGGAGCGCCCTACGGTGTAGTTTTCATTTGCCTTGCATAGGTGTGCCACATGGTGGCGCTATACTGTTACAGGAAATTCAGTGTAATCCCTTGTAGTGTACAGTTATGGTGAGTGATTCAGTGTAATCTAAGGGACTTTCCCTGTGGTTTTCCAGAGTACTAGGCGCCAATGTCCGCCGCTGAGAGCCAATTACCATTTCCGGGTTGAGAGTGGTTTGAGTTGAAACCTCTCTTATTTGCAAGGCCCCTGACTGGGGAAACCCATTAGAGGCTAAGGCACTTCCCTTACCACAGGGACTTTTGGCCGAGAGAAGAAGTAAACAAGCAGAAATGCATTAGGAGAGGAGAAGCAATCCTAGCTGGATAAATGTTCCTTGTCACTTTTCTTTAGACCCCATTTATAGTCCTGGCAGATGAAGCACTCACCAAACTGTTTTCTAGCACCATAGTTCATTTTCCCTCAGGTTCTAGTACCGTGTTACAAGTTTCTCTAGTATAGAGTTGGGTTTTTTTTAAAAAAAATATTTGTCCACCACATGATCACTTTTGCAGTACTACTGAATCATATCCTGATTCCTGAATCTGCAAAAGTTCCTTCACTCAGTTTCTCTGGCAGATAAAATGTTTTCAGATGGGGGCTCTTATCAGGCTTATTTTCTTTGGGATGGCAGGTTTGCTGGAGGATTGTGTGATAGTTGCATTTTATCTCTCTGTTTCTACAGCAGTGTTTCTCAATCCTGACAGCTTTAAGGTGTCAACTCTCAGAATTCCCCAGCCACATACAAAAACATACATACATACATACATTTTCAATTGCTGTTTAACTTTCACAGCAAATACAAAAACAAAAAATCAGTGGAATTTCTTAAACACTAAAGACTTGATTTTTCCCCCCTATGTCTGTGTAATCCATGAGAATTAGGGTTAAATATTGTGACAAAGAGCTCAACCGTTTCTTGATGAAATGGATATTCACCATTTCTTTCTCAAAAGTTGCCATGTTGATTTCGGGGGTAGAGAAATATAACCCCCTCCCATCTTTTGGATATTGCTATTCTTGAGGTCAGATTTGTCCACATTTGCTCACATTTCCTGGGCGACTAACCAAGTGGATAAAGTCAAGTCATGTGAGCATTGTTTGATAGATTACCATGCATATCCAAACTGGGAAATGTGCAAGGCTATGTGCCCTTAATCAAGCTACCCACTGTAGCATAAGAACATGAGCAAAGTGATTCATTAATGCTGTTTGTTATATTTCTATGTGTGTATATAAATACACAAAAAGTATAGACAAGGGCGAACAAGTGGCAAGGGTGCTATCTGCCATCAAAGCCTCAGTCATTAATAACTCTTCAGTTAACCTTTTTCTGTGCACCTCCCCCTCCCCCTCATAGTTTTACACCCAAAACATGCAGACATCTGATTTCAACTCTATTTAAATGAGCGATAGGCTTTTTAATTTCTTCCGCTGTGCAAACAAATTTCTCCATGATGTATTCATATTTGATTTCTCTTGCATGTGACTCATTCTGTCATGGTTGTTTTCTGGCTACAATATACCTTTTGTGTAAATATTTCCTAAAAATATTTCTAAAGGAAAAGAGAAATGATTCATGTAGAAGCATTAGCCAACCTGGGAATGTTGGTGGAATATTTGTAAGATTAAAATAATCCTTACCAGAGGGTCAAGATTTCCTTTAGAAATTCCAAAGGGTTTTTTTTTTCCTGATAGTCAAGAACTTGCACAAGTATATGAAATGGTTGTTCCTGTTTCCCCTTTGTTTTGGTTTCCCTTTGCATCAAGAGATACAAGAGTCAAATCTGCACCACGTTCTCAGAATAAAGAAGTATTTCTGGCTCAGGCCATTTGCTATGCACAGATATTGCAGTTATTAG